ATCCCTTTTTTTTAGGGGGGGGGGGGGGGCATTTTGGGTTGTGATGCTAAAAAAAGTTAGAAGGCGAGGCGAGGAACATTTTTTAGAAGAGTTGGATAAATAAAAATAAATAAATGTTGCTGGGAAGTCAATTTAAGGTTATCAATTTACTTTGATGCATGAATCAGTCAATGAATAGCTTCCTTTTGAAATACTTTCTGCGAAAATCATTCATGAAAGTCAACATATGTGATAGACGTACTTAGGATGGATAATTTGTCATTTTCTTTGTGACGTCTCATGTTTCATTCCTCTCTGTAGGTTACTACGTTTGCTTGCAATTTGGCAAAACATCGGAAATCTTCAACTCTGGAGTCCAAGGATGTATTGCTACATTTAGGTTTGTGCCAACAACTGCAAAAGAGGCAGTTTTGTTTAGTTTGTTTTGTTTTTTTTAAAAAAAACATGCAATTATTGACTTGTTAGAATTGGCGACCGTAAGATAAATCATTATAGACTTTATCAAAGTTAATAAAATTGTATAAATTAATGATCACAGTTGTTTGTAACTAGATAATTTTATTGCTTTCTATTTATGAGTGCGTTCTTTACAAGATTATATGGTGAGATCGTCTGCATTTAGTATGCTAACATCTTTTCTCTCTGGATCTAATTAGAGTCACAAAATTTGAGCCCATATTCCAATTGACACAAATTGGGACCAAACTTAGTTTTCATGGTTGTTCCTTTCAGTCGGCAGTTAATCTTTTGCTAATAGCTGCTCTTTTCTAATGATTTAATTGTTGGATTAGCACTAGTTTTTTTCTCCTCGACACCAACTTTTACCATTACTATCTACTTAACTTTCTTTTGCTCTTAAGCTTTCAAGCTACACACAGCCAAATACTAGAATTTGTATTCCACCACCTCATAAGTATGCATCAGGAGTTACTGGCCAATACTTTGATAAACACAGTTTGAACACAGATCATGAAGATGCTTTTCCTTCAAAAATACATTTTGCTTTGGGGAAAAGGCTAATTTTGAAGGAAAGGCTTCTTCATGATCTCAATTCTCATCAACTCAGTAGTCTGTTAAGAATGTTTTCCTACGGTTCATCATTGCTTATGATGTTTTAACATAATTTGATTAAGAAAGGAAAAATTGAGGTATTGGCCTAATTTACATGTGATGATTTACAGAGAAAAATTGGCATTTGACTGTTCCTGGCTATTCAACTGAGGATAAGATACACGATTCAGAATATGTAAGCTCCTCTTCCTCTCTTAACTTGGGTTTTATACTGGCTTTTTGGAGTTATGATGCATAGCTAAACATGACACATGATCTATGACTCTCTAAAGTACCCGATAACCTATTTATTATTTAAAGAGAAAATAAAACCTCAATTATTTTTTTTTGGCCTTAGTTTTGTTTATTGTAATTTTAGCTTCTGATTCCAGTCCACTCATAGTATTATATGTACTTATTGATCTCTTTCTGGGCCAATGACTGTAGTAACTTTAAGCTGAGTAAAAATTCAGTCTGTTTCTATGACATCATGTTTCTAACTTTTGTGCAGTCACCAAGTGATCTCCACAAAGAGCGTTCGGAAATGGTGAGTTGGAGTTCTTTTGTGATAACACGATGTGCCTTTGTTCTAAGTGTATAATATCGTAATCTTGATACTTGACTCAGATATACACCATGATGGAGGCCTCACCAGCTGAAGCAAGTACAAGTAGCAGCAGTGACGAAACCATCAGTCCGGGGCTGGATGACCATGTTGGTTCCAGTGACATAGTCGGACCACAAAGTGCGGAGCAATCGGTTTCACAGTCAAATGGTCAGATATAATGCGACAGTAAATGAGGTTCTGATGTCCCTGGAATTTGGTATACCCCTCACTTCACTGTAATAAATACTTCTTCTAGAATGAGGTCAACTTTAGTTTTGCTTGTCTGATTGAAGAACTTAAACATAGCCTGTTTTGAATTTGCATGCCCGTTTATGTTATTTGAATGGTTGTTCTCCCATTATGCCTTTTTTTTTCATTCCTTTTGCCACCTCCTAAGTCAACATCATACTATAGCTGAATACAACATGAAGTGTGCAAAAAGAAAAACCTGAATCCCTATTGGATTGATGTGGGATTGCGGATTTTTTTTATTAATAATTCTAGAAAAAGGTTTTATTACGTTAGGGTAGGGGGAGGGGATAAGGTTTGTTCAAAACTGAACTGTAATCGTTAATTGAACCGCAAAATTGGCTTATTGACTTATTGGTATCAGGTTATCGGAGTAATGGTTGGTGAATGGATTAACGACTTATCGGTTTGGGGACGGATTAATCAATTTCCTTATCGGATTAATTGTTAATCCGTTAAAAAATTTTATATCTAAAATTTTTACCCCTATGTGTATAAAGTATCTAAATATTTCTTTGAAATACGGTAATAGTTAGATTAGACCGTTGCACCAAATTATTGTTACATAAAAATTTAAAAGGATCTTAGACTATTTTGTTCGTATCTCTTTTTTTTTTTTTTTTAAACCCCTCCCAAATTAGGAGGATCTATAGTGTTTCCACACTTCCCCTCCATGGTGACTCGAACCCAAGACCTAACGGTCGTAAGTGGAGGTGTTTTTACCAACTGAGCAGGCCTCACTTGTCTTTATCTCTTAATCTTGGTATTTGGCTTCTTTTTTTTTTTTTTTCTTAAAAAAAACTTTAAATCTCTTGATTTCCTTTTGCATAGTTGATAGTGCACAACTCCTTTCGCCTATGTTGTGCTTTCTGGATGTGCTTAATGCGCTTCACTTTTCTGGTAATCCAAAAACATGAATAAACAAAATTAAGTTGATTTAACCCAAATCTTTGCAAAAGCAGTTGTACAAAAGAATTGTAAGGGGTCGTATGGTTGGAAAGAAGTTATCCCAGGATTAGTTTTTCCGAGATTAGTTATCCCCGGATTAGTTATTTCACCCTTTTATGGGAATAAAAAAAAAACCTACAATCCACGGATAATTAATTATCTCGCAATTTTATCTCAATCAAATATGGGATAAACTCTTCTTATATTTAATCCCGAGATCGATTATCCATCATCCCTCATACCAAACGAGCCCTGAGTCGTTATTTTAATTTCGTCGGTAGAAGTTGGACTTGGACTACATGTGCTTTTAATTTTCATTGTCTCTCAGGGGTCGTTTGGTACATGGTGGGATATCCCACGGGATTAGTATCCCACCTTCCTTCTAGGGATAACTAATCCCACCATTTTAGTGTTAAATTTATCCCCAAATTTACTAATACCCCAAACTAAACATGGAATAAATTTAATCCCAAACTTTATTTCGGGATTATTATCCTTATTTCATGTACCAAACAATCCCTTAATCTTAGATTTAGCTGATACACTGCTCGATAATTGTTAATATGATACCGAACCGACCCATATCTTATCGGTTGGCTAACATATTAGTACATTTAAAAGTCAATAATTGATAAGCCGAACCGTTCAACGTAATTTTCTGCCCGAGAAGCAACCCTATGAGGACATGATACGCTGCGTTGGGGTCTGTGCCCTTCACCTCAACCATGAAAGGCACGAAGCTCACCAACTGAGCTAGCTTTCAACCCTGATTGCAGACTTTTGTTGGGTATTTTTATTTTATTTGTGGAGAATATCAGAGCTCTTTAATTTGAAGGGGTTTTAATTTTGCACATTTGAAGACGTAGAAATCGGACACATTTCATGTTCAGTGCCTTCAATTTCTGAATTCACAAAAAATGGAAATACAAGGATTATTATTTCCAACAGAGAACTACAATTTAATCAAAGGGCTAAAAAGAAAGAAATAGATGTAAACTATGAGAATTAAATATGCCATAGTATGTAGGTGGAACCTGGAAACAGCCTCTCTGCCCCTCGGGTAGAGGTAAGGTCTGCGTACATATTATCCTTCCCAGACCCCATTTGTGAAATTACACTGGGTTGTTGTTGTTGTTGTATAGTATGTAGGTGGAAACCTTGGATTCCCAGGCAAATACTACGGAGAGTGTTTTGACTTTGTTTTGGAGTTAAATTCATAGAACTACTTTAATTCATAAGATCTATGGGCAGATTCTCAAACGTCAACAATTGTATTATAGTACGTAATAAAGATCAGAGGCGGATCCAGGATTTAAATCTTATGGGTTCAATTTTAAGGCTTTTAACATTGAACCCATTGTATTTTTTAAATTTATGGGTTCATATCTACTATTTTTACAATTTTAATAAATATTTACATACAAATTTTTACTTCGCGTCGAAAGTTATGGGTTCAGTTGAACCCGTAGGTTATAAGCTGCATCCGCCACCGTGGGGCATCATTGATCTACGAGGTCCAAAATTCTCCAACATTAAAATCCTTTTTACAATGCTGTCAACCATCATATAGTAGACCACCAAGTGATTTATTGACACCTAATTTTTGATAATATTTAATTTTTGTAACTTTTTTTATGTAAATATTTTTAGGGGTCTTAACCTACAATTTTTAGCTTTGTTACACTTTTTATTATAGGGTAAAAATACAAAATTTTAAAAGGTGAATTATTACTATTAATATTATTTTATTTTTATTTTTATTTTAAAATAAAAAATCCGAAAATATTAATTATATTTTCTTATTTCAGGAGAGATTAAAAAAATAAGAAAAAGGGAAGTAGGGAATTAAAAAAATAAAAGTAAAAGTAGGTGGAATTCTCTTTTAAAAGGGTAAAAAAAAAGTGAAAAAAATAATAGTAAAGTTTTGTGGAAATTTAAAAAATAAAAAGTAAAAGAAAGTTGGAACTAAAAAAGGAAAGTAAAGATGGCTGAAAATTAAAAAAAACAAAAGTAAAAGAAAGTAGAATTTTTAAAAGAAAAATAAAAGAAAGTGAATTTATTTTAAAGAAAAGTAAAAAAAGTGGAAAAATAAAAAAAGAAAAGTAAAAAAAGTGGGATTTTAAATAAGATAAAACTAATTAAAGTTGGAATTTAAAAAAATAAAAGGAAAGAAAGGTGGGAATTTATTTTATAAACAACAGAAAAGCAAATTGTAAGTGGGATTTCTTTTAATTAACAAATAATAAAATAATAAATATTTTTAAAAAAATCTGAAAATTTTCGATTTTTTTTTTTTGCTATATATAGAAGAGAAAATTTGAGAAGAAAGAGAGGAGAACGGAGAGAAAAAATAAAGGAGGAAATTGAGAGAAAACAAATTTTCTTTTTCTATGCTAAAGAGAATTTCTACTAGTTTCATTCTTTCTTCCTATTTCTTTCAAAAAAAAATATAGCAATTCGTTACCTTATTTAAGACCAAAAAGCAACCAAAATTAGCTCTTTAAACACCTCAAAATTAGCCCTAAAATAATCATGAGATTTTGTGGCATGAACCCCTTTTCCTTCGGGTTTTAGTTGCAGTCGAGTAACGAAATTCGATCCGTCAAGGTTACCGGTTCAAAGATCAGTCAATAGCTTGTTGTGATCAACTCGATTTGGATTTTTACATTTGAAAAATATTGAGAAAAGGTAAGTTCTAAACTTTGTCATTTTTGTGTACTTGCATGAATAAATTCACACTTATTTAATGAATATTGTTCTATTTAAATTGTGTTTTGCAAGTTATATGTTAAGTTGTATTATTCTT